TAACTATATTTATTTTTGTTTTTGCTTTATTTTAATTATTTAAAAAAAAAATGTACAATATTTCAATTAATCTATTATGTTTGGAAACATTTGAAAGTGTTTTAATAAATTATAAACTTTGGGTGAGGTATGTCATGTAAAATGATCACAAAACTACAAATAAGCAAGTATCCACCACAATTTATCTAAATATGAATAATTATTTTACAAATTTTTTATTCATGCTGGCCCTAAAATATCCACATTCGCAGTAGTATCTTGTACATTACTGTGAGCTATCATATATTCTGAAACTGATATATATATGCCAACTAATAAACCAATTACACTTGCTATATAAATATTTCTTTGAAATATTATACATGTTGCTACACAAAGGCCAAAATAAGTAGCATATCGAGCGACATTTTCTTGTTGTTTACGGCCCAATATATCGGAATCTATAATTAGAAAATTTATATTGCGTTAGTTCACATAATAGTATTACTTATTTATTACTATATAATTTTATTTAAAGTTCAGTATGACACTTACTTATACATAAATTATCTTTCTTATAATAGCCATCTGCACATTTTATACACATATCTGGACCATCACCTGTGCAACCATTGCAAGCTCTGTCACAACCTAAAATAAACATAAAAAATAGCTTACAAGTTATCAATAAATACATTTCTTGTAACTTACTTAAACATGTGTAACTTCCTTCCTTATTGATACAAAATTGATTTCCAGGACAATGTTCATCACTTTTCATACATTCATCAATGTCAAAACAACCATCTTCATCTAGCATATACCATCCTTTCATACATTTCATACAATATTTTGGTCCTGGTCCATTACAAGGACCATCACAAGCAGCATGGCATGGAGAACAAAGTAATTTATTTTCATCTTTATAAGCTTCATAAAATCCACTTGCACATTCAGTGCAGCTAGATCCCTCATATCCTTTATCGCATAAGCATTCACCATTTCCTTTTCTGGTACCTGCTCCTTTACATTTACCATTATTATTACAAACTTTGTCTGGGAAACCTGGACATGGTGTGCATTCTGAACCAAAATGATCTTTTGGACAACATTGTTTGGTTTGTTCAATACAAATAAACTCATAAATATCTGGTCGAGTTTGTTGATAATTAAACCACCAATCTTCTATTTGGTTTTCTAATTGTTCAGCTAAAGTATGACATTGAGTTTCACCACGTTCTACTTCTTTACATAAATGTTCTTGTATTTCTATTAATCTAGTTTCACTCTTTGAGTATGAACCTAATTTGTCTTCTTCCCATGCACTATCACCACCATCAAATTTGTCACGACTAGTCCTTTCTATACCCTATATAATAAAAAGTATTATCATTCAATGTAGAACAAACACATAATAGATACTTAAATTAATATGTGATTATTAAACTTTAAGAAATTATGTAAAAATCCTTTATTTTTGTATATATTCTATCATACTTGTGTACATTTTTCTTAAAATAAACATGCATACAAAGTACATTAAATAACATAAATTAAAAAAAATTATATTTTTCAC